TCTCTACAAGTGTTATTAAAGCAGCACTATGTATTATTTTTCAACCTTTATAATATTTTTACTAACCCTCGAGATGGTACATCGACTTATAATAGGTTGAATGACAGGTCTGCCAGTGTCTGTATCGCTTTTACTGCCACTCTGTAACTTCGGGGAGCACAAAAAGATACAAAATTCGACTGTTTTGCGGCATACATCACTTCCCCTACTTCCTCAAATTCCGACGCAAGAGCCTCTTGTATGTTGTCATGGCTGAAGCATCATTTAAAACCAAATGTGAAGTGCGTCAGAGACAGAGCGCGCGTGATCAGTTTACTGTTGGTGATGTGTTGTGTACTGTAGCTTCACCCCTCGCTGCATCCAATGTAGACTGCATTGCTTTCTTTTGAGGGCGGTTAAGACACTCAAGCATCTCCGTAGAGCCGGGGCGGGCAGCTCGCGCCAGCTCGAGACGTGAAAGTATACTGATTACTGAGTTTGGTAAGGGCTACATTTTTGCAAGTAAATAATACATGATTAGACAAACAAAATAATCGCATCTCGCATGTCTGCAGGGCAGCTGATAGTCATGTTTGTTACTTTTTTCTGGTGAAAGTGTCTTGCCTCAGGCTATAATGCAAGATTGCAGATTCATCTTTGGTAGCTTGATATTATAATATTGACGACATGGCTATTGTCTACCAACAAACCAACCCGATCACAAATGTGTCTTTATTAGTGCTGTAGCGGCGCGTCGATGATGTTGATGATTCGACGTCAAAATTGCGGCGACGTCATATTTTTGCGTCGACGCTTCTTTATTTATTTAATTTTTGCATGTTCCCGGCGGTACAGCTTGCCACACACACGTGGGAGACCGAAACATTGCAGAATAGAGGACGAAGACAACTAGAAGTGAATGTGCTATCCATTAAATGAATCACACACAGTAAACAAACTGTTTCCCTTAAGAAAAAAAATTGCAATTTAGACGCGCAAACTGGGTGCCGGTGTGGTGAGACGTACAAGCTCGGGCAGATTCGGCTTGAAGTCGATCCCGGACGCGGCGCCGGGCGCGTTGTTACAAAAAAAGGCGTACACACAACCAGCCACAGTCTTCCTGGTCTTCCGCACCCAACGGGTCATTTTTGCCGTGCGCACATTCGTTCTCGTGTGGACGTGTCGAGTATAAACCAGGCTTTAACTCTGTGTCAGCACGCGCTCTGATCAGTAGGTGAACTCCGCCTCCGACTCCGTTTCCCTCCTCAGCTGATATTAATATTTAAACATTCTCTATGATAAAAAATGTTTGTAAAAATATTTTAATAACACGGTTTTGGCGGTTGTAGAGTTATGATGGTGTTCAAATACATAACATTAGACTAACGTTAGCCAGCTTATAGTATCTTGATTCAGTATGCTGGTATTTATTTGAGATATTGTTTTTTTATTAATTGAGCAGCAGAAAAAAATATTCTTTATATCAGTCGTCCAATTAGTCATTAGATTAGTCGACTAATCGATAAAATAATCGGCCAACTAATCGTTTAGTTAATAATCGTTTACCCCAGCCCTAGTCATAGCACGCATGTGTATTGTCGTTTAAGGGCCGGTTCACATATCGCGTCTTTTGCGCCCTCAAGTTCGTTATTTCAAATGTAGGCACGCGGTATGCGCGCTCATAATGGAAGCGGTGCGACGCGCTTGTTTTTTCCATGCGCGTCCGCGCCGCGTCGAGATAAAAACATCTCAACTTTTCAGAATACCGCAAGCGCACCATACGCACACAAGAGGTCATGTGACAAGAACCAACTGAAGCGCAACCGCCCTGGCGCTTTGAAAAATAGAGAATACGGCGCGCCCAGCGTTTTCGACGCGTTTTTAGGCGCTATATGTGAATCCGGCCTAATTTATACGCTAAAGTGAGTTTTTATGTGCATATGATTGGTTAGGGTAGGTTAAATAGTGGTGGTAGAATTAGTGGTGTGGGGTGCGTGTGTATTACACGCAAATATCAAATGCACACGAAAAACTGCGTCTCATATGCACGTAAAAACTCATTTTCGCGTATAAATTACACGACAATGCATGATGAGTGTTATAGAAATGCATTTACGTGAGAACAGGCTGAACAATCATTGAATTGAATTAGCATATCCATTATGGAAAACAGTAACCAATAGGCTAACGTTACTATAAAGACGCTGACTTGTACAGTAAATATGAGCTACGCGATCTTTTGACCTATTGACGAAAAATAAAGCCCATGAAACTATATTCATAAGACATGTTGAAATATATGCCAATGTACCTGGGGTGAAGACATTTCACACGCAACACTGGAGTCTGCCCAAGATGTGAGAACTCTTGTCACTTGTCAACAAATGCGCATGTATTCCCTAGTGTCCGATGACAGATTTTACGACAGTAATAGAAGACAATACTGTTTCCCAACTGTAGGGGGACCCCGAGAGCAAAATTTCAAAAGTAACAGAATACTGCTTTAAATGTCTAATTATCAGAACAGTCTTATCCCAAGACGTCATACAACTGACGCTTTTGACCATACGTCAACATCCGCCGTTTTAGGGTACCCTTAAACATTGGTTAGATGACGTTATCTACACCAGTCACCTAAGTGACGTTAAAGGTAAAGCGTCAGTTGGATGACGCCCCAGGATCGACATGTAACTGACGTTAAAGGGTACCCTAAAACGGTGGATGTTGACGTATGGTCAAAAGCATCAGTTGAATGACGTCTTGGGATGAGACTGTGTTATAATTATCTAAAAAAAACCCAAAAAAAACAACAACATGGGCTGTCTTGGTTGCCATAGTTATTCATTGTTTCATTAAGTCTCACCTGTCCCTCATTACGACTGTGTATTTATACCCTCAGGGGCTAAAATTATGAAATTTTGTATGCATTTTGGCCATTTGTTTACACAACGCACTTTTTTGAAAACGTGTTTTAAATTGAAGACGATGACGTCATGCACGTGCGTATTATATGTTCAGTCTATAGTGTTTCATCGCCATGTGATGGCCTGGCAGCGGAATACAGTGTTTTTATTGGTTTTCGCGGATCCGTGTGAATCTGGATCGGTTTGACAATGGTGTCGTCTGTACCTGGAAGACTCAAACTTCTCCGTTTTAAGCATATTGTTGTCGTGTAAATGTACTCTTTGTTAGCTTATGTTATTTGTCTTGTGTTAACATTGCTACCTGGATGTTCTCTCTGTTGTTTATTGGATTATCTCTGTTTGTGTATTTATTCCTATTAAATTCTACTTTGTTTATATTCAAGCCTGATCGTTCTGAAGAAAACAGCCGGCAGGTGTGACAATTGCATTGTATACAAAATGTCAAAATGGCGTCTGCATACAAATGCTAGACCTTTTGTTTTATAAACCATAATTTGTGAAGGGAGTCCTCATACGATTGCAGAGACATTTTAGTGCAGTGCAGTGAAAATTGTGCGTTCATTTTGGAGACTGGTCTGAAAGCGAGTTGATTTACTTTTTAATGTGAGATAAATGTAGTTAAATTAAGCGGTAACACTTTACAATAAGGTTCATTAGTTAAACTACCTTAGTTAAAATGAACTGAGAATGAACAATACTTCTACAGCATTTATTAATCTTAGATAATATTACTTTAAACAGTTACTAAGTTATTCAAATCAAAGGTTGTATTTGATAACATTGTTTAATACCCTGTGAACTAACATGAACAAACAGCTGTATTTTTATTAGCTAACGTTATCAAAGATTAATACTGTAACAAATGTATTACTCGTTGTTAGTTAATGTTAGTTAATTCATTAACTAATGAGACCTTATTGTAAAGTGTGACCAATTGAGCTTATGTGTCAAGAAATAAGCAGTTTAGCATCTAGTCTGAATGCGTAGTGCATGTAGTTCCCTTGTGTTCATGTAAGATTTTTTGCTTAATGTTGATCCATGAGAAATCTGAAAATGTACATAAAAAAAAAAAAAAAAAAAAACATGCTTAGTGTTTATTAATGTGAACCCGATCGGCAGACATCTCCTCCAGGCTCTCATAAATTTGATCACTAATTGCTGTTTAAATGTGCGTGTTAGACCATAAATTAATTTAAATTTGTTATTAGATTTAATGGGTGCACTTGCATGCATAAAACATACATTTTGACATTTCACATAAGGGTCTTCTTCATTTAAGGGGACGTGCACTCTGCTAACAATCTGGCTTCATTCTTGGTTGATGTAACGATGAGGGTGTGAATTTTAATGATCAGCTGTAACCTCAAACACACACGCACTGCTTGAGGGGCGGAGAAAGACGGGGAAGACTAACATACTCGCGGCGGGCTGTTAAAATGACTCCACTTCTTTATAGGGAACCAATCACTTGAGAGAAAATGCCACCCGTTTTGAATTCCTGGAGGGCTCCATCAACACGGGGTCGCTCACGGGCTGTGACAGGAAATGTCTGGGGTGGGAACACTCTTGAGAAGTGAATGAAAGATTTTTAAAAGAGGAAGAGAGAGAAGCAGGTGTTGCCCCCTTGGACAATAACGACGACAATCAGTTCTTTTCTGTAGATTTATTTGCTCCGGTTGTTTTCTCTTTTGTTTCTGTGACAGATTTTTGAGCTCAATTTTTTACATGAACAACAACATGCGTGAACTGCGCTTTTTTTTACACTTCTTCTCTCTCTTTTTCGAACCGGTCTTCTTAACCCACAGCGCCCCCAACAGTATACATATTTTCTGAGGCTTTCTACATTTATACTGTTAACATTATATTAGTACAGATTATGTACAATAAACAAAAAAACAAATTTAACAATTATTTGAGGTCATTACACCCTCCCCCACTAAAAAAAAATAAAATGTTACAAAACATTTTTAATTTACTATCTCCGGGCAAATATTGAAAATGTAAGTTCCAATAACAGTGTAATGTACATGCTTTCTCACAGCTTAACAACATATTTTACTTCCAAACTACTTTGACATAATTGCAATCATCTAAACTTTTAGATCTGATGCATGTTGAAAAGGTGTCTTGTCTTTAGGTTCGCTGGTGGGCCCCCCAGAACGTCCTGTAATGACAAGTGGACACAACCACATACACCTCCACAATGTATTTAACACATTTTAAATGTCAATTCAGCAATGCATTAATTTCTTAATGTTTTCTCAGTCTACCCAATATTCCTTAGACTGCACAACCTATTACTCTACTGTAGCCTATTGCATTTTTTTTTTTTTTTACGACTGTAGACTTACAATACCCATAACTGTTTATAACTCACTTAACAAAAATATTTTACCTTGAACATAACTATTTCAACTCTCACTAATATTACTTAATATGAAGGATACAGATTAGCTCACTGGTCTAAGTGTGGGCTCACCCAGGGTGTCATATGTGTATAGATTCCTAGGTCGCCTGGTTCTGGCAGAAGTTCTCTTCATAAGTTCTAATGTCACGTCACAATCTTCATGCCTCATAGGTTCTGATGCCTCATCACTATCTTCATGCTCGGCTTCTCCAATGAATCCTTCCTCCAATTCCTGCTCCCCTTGAAGATCTCCCAGCACTTCTTCATCGGATTTCTCTGAGTCAGGTAGGTTTACGGATTCGTCACCAATTTCTTCGATGTCAAGTTCCTTTTCAGGTTTCCTGTTTCTCTCCTCTCTTCCAGGGTGAAATTCTGCCGCACATGGATCTAATTCTGTTCCTGTTCTCCGTATTGGAATCCACAAGTCAACCTCCTCGTCACTGGAACTGTCAGTGTTTCCATGGTGAGTATTTTGTGGTGATTGTCCTTCCTGTTTTGATCTGTTCCTCTGACATCCTTTTCTTTCCAAACGAACATCGGCTGTTCTCGGCTCATCCACCAGATACGGACAAGGTAATAGAAGGTTCCGGTGCAACACTCTATCCTTTCCTGTCGTATCCAATGGTCCCACAACGTACACCGGTCCATCTCCTCCTCTCCTTTCCTTCACCACATACGTTTGTTTTTCCCAGAACGCTCGCAGTTTTCCTGGGCCTCCTCTTTCTGAGAGGTTCCTCACCAACACATGATCACCGGGCTCCAAGACAGAACTCCATGCCTTCCGATTGTAATTTCTCTGCCCCTTTGCAGCAGCCTTCTTCATGTTCTTCTTTGCGATATCATATGCTTCTTGCATAGACTTTTTCCTTTACTTGCTTTGTGGGGAACACAAGATCAATTGGAAGAACTGGCTCTCGTCCAAAAAGAAGAAAGAATGGGGAAAATCCTGTTGACTCATGTACCGTGGAATTATAGGCGTGGACAACTTTGTTAAGGTGTTCTGCCCAATTCGACTTCTTCGTCTCCTCTAAGGTCCTCAGCATCCCCAACAGTGTCCTATTGAACCTCTCTGCTGGGTTAGCTTGGGGATGGTAGGGGGTTGTACGTGAATGCCTAATCCCACAATAACTCTGTAGCTTCTGGAACAGGCTGTTCTCAAACTCCCTCCCCTGATCATGATGGATCTTTGCGGGGAAACCATAACGCATGATGAAGTCTTCAAAGATCTTCCGGGCTGCTGTCTTTCCAGACTTGTTTCTGGTGGCGTATGCCTGAGCAAACTTCGAAAAATGGTCTATGACCACCAGAATGTACTCTGCTCCCCCTCTACTCTTCTCCAGGTGCAGGTAATCAATCGAGATCATCTCAAATGGAGCTGTTGTCTCAATGCTCTTGATTGGGGTTCTGGTAATCCGGTTTGGTTTCTTTTGTCTTAGACATCGACACACTCTTGTGACATAATGCTCTATCTCCTCTCTCATTCTTGGCCAGAAGAAACGTGCACGAGCTGCTGCCACCATACGTTCAGCACCCAGGTGGGCCATGTCTTCATGCAGGTACTTGTATATCATACTTTTCAAGTTTTCTGGGACAACTAACTGAGTTCTGGTCATTATCTTCCTTTGCAGGATACCTTCCTCATTAATCTGCAGGCGATGCCATTCTCGCAAGAGTCGTCTCACAGGTTCTGGTTCCATCAATTTGTCTTTGTGTTTGAGATCAATTTGTTTCTGTTTCAGATCCAGTACTCGGCTGATGACTGGATCACTCAGCTGAGCACTCCTGATATCCTGAGATGTTAGCCGCTGACTGTCCACTGATCCACCCTTCAGCTCTTCCGGTAAGACATCTATGTTGCAGGTGATTGCAGATATCCAGTCCACTTCTCCACGTCGTTGTGCTTTCAGAACTTCCTCGATTGATCCCAGAACTTCCGGCTCACACTCCTGAGTACATTCTCTGACTGTGACTTCAATGGGCACTGGTCTCCGTGATAAGAAGTCTGCATCTCGATTTGCCGTCCCTGGTCTATACTTCAGAGTGAAACGGTAGTCTGCCAGCTCAGAAACCCACCGTTGCCCCGCTGCGTTAAGCTTTGCCGTTTTCATGACATATGTCAACGGGTTGTTATCACTGTAGACAACGAAATGCGGTGCATGAAACAGGTAATCCCGGAAACGCTCTGTGATCGCCCATTTGAGTCCCAGGAACTCCAACTTCCCAGAATGCAGCTTGTAGTTCTTTTCGGCCGGGCTCAAAGTCCGAGATCCATAACCAACTACGCGGAGTTTACCTCCCTGTCGTTGATACAATACAGCTCCTAGCCCTTCTTCTGACGCATCGACATGAAGGACAAATGGCTTTTCAAAGTCTGGATATGCCATAATGGGTGGGCTTGACAACTCTGTAATCAGCTTCTCCAGCGCTTCCTGATGTCTCCCTGTCCACTCTACTGGCTGTGATGGAGGTGCTTGCGAGGAGTTCCCTCTTTTTCCGGGGCCTTTCCTTTTGCACGTGTTGGACTTTGTCAATAGTTCATATAAAGGCTTGGCTATTCTGGCAAAATCAGCGATGTATGATCTGTAATAACCAAGGAAACCCATGAGCTTCCTCACCTCACGGACAGTGCTAGGTGTTTCCCACTTTAGTGCTTGCACAGCCTCTTTTTCTTTGGGGTTCATGCTGTACCCATGTTCAGAGACGATGCGGCCCACATAGCAGACTTCCCGCTTAAAAAGGTCACACTTCTTTGGCCTTAACTTGATCCCACACTGCTGCTGTCGCTGTAGCACTTTCTTCAAGTCCTCTAGGTGCTGGTCGAAATCCTTGCTGAAGACTAACACATCATCAAGATAGGGAACACAGATATCATCCCTTAACTCTCCTAGACACTCTTCCATGTATCTCTGAAAGGTGGCGGGTGCATTTGTGAGGCCAAAAGGTATCCGCACCCACTCATAGAGCCCCCAGGGTGTTATGAATGCCGTGTATGCCCTACTGTCTTTGCTCATGAAGCCCTGATGATAGGCTTTACCCTGATCCAGGACAGTGAACCAGGAGTTCCCCCCTAAATTTTCCAGTATCTCTTGGATTCGTGGGATGGGATGTCGGTCAGGGTGTGTCTTCTCGTTGAGCAGCCTGTAGTCCACACATAGGCGCAAGCTCCCATCCTTCTTTCTCACACACACAACTGGCGAGGAATAGGAGGATGTCGACTTTTGAATCCACCCCTGACTCAGCAGATTCTGTATGTGGGTCTTCACCTCTTGATATAGGGGTCGTGGTATTGCATTGTACGTCTTTTGTACAGGGATTTTGTCTTTCAAACAAATGTCCATTCTGAGGTCCGGAATACATCCAGTGTCCCAGTCATCCTTAGCAAACGCTCCACTATTCTCTCTCAACAGCTGTCTCACACGTTCCTGTTGTTCTCCAGGTAAGTGACTGAGGTCCACTGGCGGGTCCCATCCTTCACTCTCCTGAACTGTAGGTTGGGTCTCTGGCGGTACGTCATTGTCACCTTGTGATAGCTGAGATTGGAATTCAGACGGAGATGGCAACTTCACTTCCGGTTGATGGATGGCATCCACTGCATGCAGCCACCCCAGGACAGTCCGTGCTGTAAGTGTCACCTCTTCTCCTGTGGTATTTTCCACTATCACTGTAATGTTATCATCCTCGTTCAGAGGCATCTGAATAAGCTGTTTGTTTACCTTTATGCCTGCAGGCCAGGGTGCTTCCGAATTGGGCTCCAGCATTACGTGTGTTCCAAGGGTAACCGTCTTATTGAGCTTGCCACAACTGACGTTCACTCTCGCGCATCTTGGAAGAATAATGGATTTTCGTCCAAGTCTTGCAATATGACACCCGCTGCTGTTTTTGCGTTTCTTCAGGAGTGACAGAACGGCTTTTGCTTTCCTAGGGCTAACTTCCAGGGATGAACTCAGTGTGTTTACAAGGGAACTCAAAGGAATCTGCTGTGCTGCATTAGCTTGGACCAGTTCCTCAATCACATTAAAGCCGATTATGGGTTTCTCCAATTCACTGGATGCAATGAGAATTGGTGCCATCAGGTGTGTGCCCCTTCCTTCAGTCTCAGTGTTTCCAGACAGACAAAACTCCACTTCCATCCAGCCTTCATATGGGATGCTTGTCCCATTCGCTGCTGTCAGGTTGAGTTCTCCCTCCTCAAGCAGCTCTCTCACTGGTCTCACCTCTGCGTCAGGCAGGTGTCTTTTCTTCCACTCCGAGCCCACAATTGAAACCTGTGACCCCGTGTCCCAAAGCACTGATGTTATGACACCTCCGAGAGAACATTGCACCAAGCATCTGCGTCCCACCAAACTGGCTGTTTTCTCCTGTTTGTTCGACCACGGTCCTTCAGATAAGCAACCTCTTGGTAAGTTTTCAATAATGTGTGATGTAATCTCAATCTTGCTTGACGTTACATTGTTCACAGTTCGTTTTCGACAACCCGCTGCCCAGTGCTCACTGCTGCCACACTTGTAACAGTGTTCACACCTTCCCTCTGGGTTAGACTGTTCACATTGGTTACAGCGCCTGGTGGTTGGTCGAACAGGTGGAAATTGGTTGCGAGGGAATCTCTGGTTACTGTTTCTAGTCATCTGAGGTCGTGATGTTTGAGCAAGGCTCGCTACTTGAGACGTCAGGTTCTGAATTGCCTCACAGATCACTTTGTCTCGAGCATCCAGCTTTTCCATCAGGTTGTTAGGCTTTGGAGCTTTCTCTTTTTTCATCCTGACATCTTGTTCAGCATGTGCCTGTTCCTCTTCCATAACTGTGGCCACTTTGGCTATTTTTGGTCGAGTGGTTGAGAACTTTGTTTTTCTTTCTAGCTCAAGACTATACGACATGTTCATTTTCTCCAACAGCACTTCATCTTCCACCCGTGGGTTTTCCAGGTAGGGTTTTAGATCTGTTCGTACGCTGTCATCATGAAGGCCAGTCAGAACTGTCTGCAAAAACTGATTCTGGATTAGTTCGTGATTATATCTTAATCCTGCCTTTACATTTTCAGATGCTGATAAAACCCTCTGCCTGAGATCCATGGCTCGAACTAAGAACTGGATCGGCGTTTCTTTGGGTTCTTGAACTGCACGTGTGAGTGAGTGATACAATTCAGTTGCATCCTTTTCAATAAAATGTGCTCTGAGAATTTGTTTGAGAGCAGGCAATGTTAAGTCTGTCCTACTCTCCAGGTAACTTCTCAAACTGACACCTGGGATGATGGCTTGAATGACTGCCTCAACAATTTCTCCCTCATCATAACCCTTTTTGCAGGCCCTGTGAATCTGTCTGTCCAGGCTGGTGAAGTTTAATTTGTCCCTCTGGCCCGGCTCACCTATTTGCCCAATTATTTTGAGTTCTTTTTTATACACTGGATGCACTAGCGTGACGTTTTCTCCTGAAACTGATGAATTTTGCAGTTTTCTCTCTGTTCTGGCATACAGTGATTGTATTGCAGGGTTTTCCACAGGTTTTTCCGATGCAATTCCACTAACGCCCACAGAGTGGCGCTCCAAGTCAACTTTTCGCTGCACCTCGTTGGTTGCTTCAACCCCTGCACTGGATGAGCTCTCGGTTTCCTCTTCGTCAACACTTCTCAAACTTTCAATCTTTTCCTTTGTCTCTAACAACATAGACAGTCCTTCATCTTCGAGTGAAACAACATCATCTCCCTCTAAATGCTGCAGAATGCGTCTTCTCAGCGCGCGAGGCGTGTGTGTCTCATCCTCCCCCACATTTAGCATTAACATTTCACACAAACTTCTCAGTTGCGAAGCAGATAACTCGAGTAATTTACTCTCTATTTCATCCAGCGTAGCTTCCCACACAGGCAACATTATGACCACTCACTGAACAGATTAACTTAACTCACGTTTGCAGATTGCAGTTATTTTTCCGCCGTTTCAAAGTCCACTTTCTCCGTGAATCGCGGCTCGTTCTCAGCTCGCGCTGCACTCGCGGCTCGTTTCATCACTTGCTGCTTTCTTCTTCCCGAAATCCGTCACAACCGAGCAGAAACACCAATTTTATGTTGCCCCCTTGGACAATAACGACGACAATCAGTTCTTTTCTGTAGATTTATTTGCTCCGGTTGTTTTCTCTTTTGTTTCTGTGACAGATTTTTGAGCTCAATTTTTTACATGAACAACAACATGCGTGAACTGCGCTTTTTTTTACACTTCTTCTCTCTCTTTTTCGAACCGGTCTTCTTAACCCACAGCGCCCCCAACAGTATACATATTTTCTGAGGCTTTCTACATTTATACTGTTAACATTATATTAGTACAGATTATGTACAATAAACAAAAAAACAAATTTAACAATTATTTGAGGTCATTACACAGGCAATGAGAAAAAAAAATTGCCACCCAGCTATGAACAGACATGGGAAATGGAACTTTTCCCCCAAATGGAGCACACTCTGGTGTCCCATTACTTTTGCAAAGCTTTAGAGGCATTCCTGTCCAAAAATGGAAATCATTCAATGTCGTCATTGTGACAATTTACAGTAAAAATATTTTTCATTATTGACTCGACCCTTTTTTAACTAGTAACACAACCTCTATTACCACATGATTTTGGAAAATGAAAATTAATATTTAAAAAAAGTAATTAAGCTTAATTTGAAACCTTACTACAGCACAGGTTTGGAAATAACCTCATTATATTTTCTCAGTTTTCACAAAAATGTGTGTTGTCTTTTGCCAAAATTACTATGATTATATATATATATGAGTTCAGATGCAAAAGCCTCTAAATGCCATTTGAAATTTTCTTCTTTAATGATGATTTTTATCAAACTTATATATTTAAGTTCAGTAATTTCACTTAAATAACAATTAATAGGTAATTATCATTGCAATTTAAGTGAAATTACTGAACTTAAATATACAAGTTTGATAAAAATGATCATTAAAGAAGAAAATTTCAAATGGCATTTAGAGGCTTTTGCATCTGAACTCTTCATATATATATATATATATATATATATATATATATATATATATATATATATATATATTTGTAAGTGAATTAACAACTACCAACATTTGGTCCAATACAAGAATCAAATATGAATATTTATTACAAAATCAACAGTTATTTTCATGAACGTTGTTTCATTATTTTGTATTTAATTTAAATTGATTTCATTTATTTGTATAATTAAATTTACAAACGAATTAAAGTTACTAGTTACTTATATTACTAAACAATTACCAAATTAAAAAAAGAAATAAAACAGCTCATATGTTTAGCTTGATGTCCTGATGCACACAAACAACATCCTAAAAACATGCATCGTTTAAAATGATAACAATAATAATAATACTGCCAGAAGGCCTGTTTAAGTCGTCACCTTTATTTATTTAATGATTTTACAATACAGATTTACAGCAATATTTAAAGATGCTTTACGGAGATAACAGGAAAAATAATCCAACAAAGTTTGTTTCCAGAGGAAAATAGCATCACAGTCCCGCTTAAGTAAGTTCTATCTGGAAGACTCTGGAGATAAATTGATGTAACAAAGCATTCATTTATTGGCTGCCCAGCAAGCAATTATTCATAAAGTTCGTTGGCGTATGCCCCGTCCGTTCATAATTTGAAGACGCCGGCAGGGGCGAAGCCGACCCCCTGGGAAGTATAGACAGGGCCATCCTGGTGGTGGTGGGGAGGATAGAGGTTGTCGTCGCGTCGGCATCTGCGAACTCAAACAAGTGTAAGTACCACTCTTACACAGTAAGAACAAGGACGTGATTGGATAGGTTTGAAGGTAATTAAGTAACGCAGTAATTAAGTCTTCCTTAAGGGGCTTTAATTTCAGTGAAGGTTCATTTTTGTTGTAAAATGTTATTAATTTAGTTGATTTAAATGTCTAGCGCTCTTGAGAAAACGTCTCAGGTTACGACTGTAACCTATGTTCCCTGAGAACAGGGAACGAGACACTGTGTCGAATGATGCTTTGGGGAAACGCCTCAGGCGTGACAGGTGTCTGAATCACAATCAAATCATGACAATCACATTGACCGGCATAAGCCTATGAATAATTTATGTGAATTATTAACATGCAACCAGGATGTATAAAAAGGTATCTTGCAAACATGACAATATCCTTTTGTCTGATGGGACTGGCCCGAGGCATGGAAAGGAGATGCAGTTTCTCGTTCCCTGTTCTCAGGGAATAAAGGCCATCCTCAGTTGTAACCTGAGATGTTCCCTTTCGAAAGGGAACCAGCACTGTGTTGAGTGACACTTTGGGGAATGATATACCCATGCCGCCATGCTGAGGGGAGTGCATGCCCATTGGCAGTGACAAACCAGTGTCCGAACCAGCAAATTCAAATGAAATGCTAGAACCACTCACCCTCAGGTCTCACTGGGCAGTCAGTGACAGCATTCCCTATGGTCATAGGCCAAGCTATTAGCCTCGCTGGAAAACTTTCTCGAGTTTCTCTCCTCGATCCAAGGATCTACCCAGTGTTTGTGTTTCAAAGCACTGAGGAGGCCTGTGAAGGCCTAAGGGCTGATCTAACTGGGAGCCCTACGACCGTCTGACCAGACTCAGGAGTCCGTGTGCTCATAGTGACCCTCGGTGAGGGGAGCACATGGTCCGCCTGGGAGGCATACCAGGCTGTAGGCAGGAAAGAGGTTCCGGGAGGGAAGCAGTAGCAGAGAATGAACACTTCAGTAGAGGCAGGGCGCAAGCTTGCCTTCAGCAGCTGCCTGATAAGGCCAGCTGAAATGATATAAAGAGGCCACTAGCTTCCTGAACTCAGCACCGCTTGGAAACCACTCACAGGGAGGCCTGGAAAGGCCTACAACCTGATCACCACAGTATGTGGGGAACTCACCCTCAAGGAGGCCTGGTGAGGCTTACTACCTGACATTTCCCATTCAGGGAGGCCTGGTGAGGCCTACTACCTGACAGTTCCCATTCAGGGAGGCCTGAATAACCAAATTATGTGGGGAACTGGGGCGGGCCTTGGCCCAACGACTCCCATGGGTGGAGGCTGTCATACAGGGATGCTTTCTAGAAACCTACATTCACAAAGGGAAGGGTAGGAGGCAGAAATGCTTCCTGGCACAGTCTAGGCCTGCTACAGAGGTGGCCCTGGTGAGGGGCAGTCTACAAGCATAGATCTACCTGCGGCTTGGAGGAGCCACAGCCTTATTATTATTTCATACGAGGGGCTGCAGAATTGCTCAGCCCACTGAAAACCCAACAGAGCTCAAGGGGGCGATGTACTCAGGAAAGAAGTCTGACGGACCTGTAGGCCGGACATAAGATCTATCTGCAGCTCTAGCGTCAGTCAAAACTCCAAGTAAAAAATCCTATGAGAGAGAGACCAACTACTCTACCCTGAGGTGGCTAACAGCCCATAGTTTCACATGAGCTGGTGCTTCCTCCTATCGTTCTAGCCACCTAAAGGGGAACGTCAGGGCCCCAATAATCCAAAAATGTACCATACCTTAGGACATTGACATGACCCCGTATCTCGATACAGGGAACGAGGTCTGTAGAGAGATACATTTTAGTGTTAGTTGCACACAAAAAATGTACTCTTATAAAATACCACTCAGCTCACCTGCGGCGTGCAAAGTAAAGACTCACCCGACAGTTCTTTTTGAACATGGGTTCTACCACTTTACATGCCTGAAAGAGGCACTCTCACTAACTTAGCCGAGGTAGGCCATCAGAACATTGTTCTAACCATGAGCCAAGCCTCAGGCCTGATGTTAGAAGCGCCTATGGAGTCGGAGGAGAGAAGAAAGGGCATAGATATAAACACGCTCTCAGGGAAGATGATACATGACCGACGCAATGTGCATTTGTGCTGGATCACCTCCCTTGGATCCCTCTTCTTGCGGGAGGAGGCACACGAGAGGCGACACTGGCTTTCTGGCCCTATCTAAGTTCTTCAGACCATGATAGGCCAGGCCCTCCCATCTGTCTGGGCGTGGACACGGATCTCAGCGGTATGTATGTCCTGGATACAGCTGAGCGCATCTTCGCCTGTCTGAACTTTCCAACCACTGCATCCACGGAGGTGCTCAGAAAAGCTCAGAGGGTGAAACCAGTGAATCAAGGAGAAAGCCTTTCTCTTTTTCAACCACAAATATCTCTCCGTGGCCACTATCTCGCAGCAGTCTGTTTGGTGGCCTGTAGAGCTGCTTTTCTCATTTGCGGCACAGCTCAGTAACCGTCTCAGGGGCCCCACCCCCTGGTCGAGATCCCCCAGTTGATCGGCCTGGTATACCTGCAACACCACCATGATGTGCAGGGTAGCACCGGCCTGACCCACTGACATGCATGCTCTGCCATTCAACTGGCAGGGTTGGAGTGTC